GAGACGGATGGAGGAGGAGGAGGAGGAGGAGGAGGAGGAGGAGGAGGAGGAGGAGGAGGAGGAGGAGGAGGAGGAGGAGGAGGAGAGACGGATGGAGGAGGAGGAGGAGGAGGAGGAGGAGGAGGAGGAGGAGGAGGAGGCGGAGGAGGAAGATTAGGAGGAGGAGCAGCATTTACTGCCTGACACGTGACCCCATTTTTGTCAGGAGGGGAAGAATACTCCTAGACACGATTAATCGTCGACTCCCCATGAAAATATGGGAAAGAATGGGAAGGCGGGGGGAAGACAAAAACCCAGCATTGTGGGGAAAAATTGGGAACCCTGGTATTTTTGTCTATTTGTTTGTGTGTCCCAGGGCTCCTCAATTTTCCACATGCCTTGTCGGGCGGCCAGATGGCCAGGCCGAGTCTGGGCCAAGGACGGGTGCTCACGTGCTCCTGCCCTCACCATGGGGCGCGCAGACGCGAGGAACAACAAGTGGCACGCGTGCCCTGGCTCTTGCACCAAGGAGCTGCGAGGGACAGCAGGCTTTCGCCTCATTCCTCCAGGAGTTTCCCTCTGTGGCCGGAGGGGGGGAGACGCACGACGAACGAACTACGACGACGAACGAAAATCAAGAGGTCCGAGCTCTAGAACACAGCTGCGCAAGAGAATAACGTTCGTGATGCGGCGCTGACCTCTTGGATTGGAGCTGCACGCCATGGGGGGCGCCGATGCGAGGAACAGCAACACTCGGGATTCCGCGCTGACTTTTCGGATCGGCGCTGAGCCCCCGTGGCGGCGCCTCTGGCCCCCGGCGCGCTTCGCGCGCCAGGGGGGTGGCTCCAGCGCCGATCCAAGAACTCGGCGCGGACCTCTGAAAGTTTAGGTTTACGCCCCTTCTCTAACGAGGTCCAAAAATGATTTCTAGTTCATTCTGAGTAGGGTTCGCTGTCGCTGTCGGCGCGGCCGCGGTCTATATCCATTTGACAGCAGGCCACCTGCCCAACACTAGCCGCTGTCGGTTTTGCACAGCACCTGTTCTTTGATATCGTACCCATTCTCTTTGTGTCCATTGCAGGCGTCCAAGCAGCCTTGCTGATCCTGGGCTCATGAGCGGTGTGTACGCCCTCTGTCTAAGCCAGGAGGGCGTCATACAGTTATCCTCGCAGGCGATTCAGCGACCCCAATCCCCGAGTCCCGCCCCAAAGAAACTGGCACTCGGAAAAGGCACTCGGGAATACACCCCTCGGGGGGCTATTCAAGTGTGCCCCTGTCGAGGATGGACGCCTCCCCCCTCGTATACCCCAGAGCTTGGCCCCCAATTCTCGGCAGATGCGAAAACCGCACAAGAAGCTGGGGATTCGGGTCGCCATGCTCCCCTTCTAGATCCTGGGCCCACCACAGAGTGAGCCTGGTCAGGAGCGTTGCAGCCTGTATAGCTTCACCACTCTGCAACGTATCCCTATCGTTATGCTTGGCGTCGCCTCACCTCGATGCCGCTTTTGAGGACTCCCTCCGTTTCTGAGGGCGCATCCCTGAGATTGGCACCGCTTCTGGCGTGCCCACCAGCTGGGCGCCCGAATCTTACCCGGGAGAGCTGCTGCGGCCCGGGGCAGCTCCCGTTCGGGCCCCCGAGGCCCCCCGCCCCCGGCCCCGATGGTATCGGAGGTCTGAACCTTCTGGATAGGGGCGGGTAGCCTTTGCAGCGCCGGTGTGAAGCATCTCCTTGTCCCTATTTGGACGCCCGAAATGGGTACGCCCGAATGGGTACTCCTACTACGCCGTTACAAAAGTTCGTCACATTTCATGAGAGCTTGAAAGTGGCATGGGTTTCGTGTCTTCCTTCCGCGTGAGCAAGCGGGCAGAGGCTGACCACTGCCCTGGCCGCGCCGAGCTGGCCCCCCCTTCCCCCCTAGAATCCTAGCGGACTGAGTCAAGAGCGGTCGGATCAAAGATCCGGGATTTCTAAAAGTGGGATTCATCCTTTACTATAATAGTATAGATTTAAAACGGGACATTTTGAGATCCCGACGTAAATTCACACGGTTCTAGAAATCCCACCGGGGCGGGATTTGTCTTTGCTTATGCAAGATGATCGACTTTTATTTTATGACGAAACTTTTGTAACGCCGATGAGGGATCCACGATGGCGACGCATCATCATTCACCCCATCGATTTCATCGCGCGCAACCCTGCGCATCATCCGCCATGATCGCCATTGCGTTAGACCGGTCTGCTCGCCTACGGTGAGGCTTCGCCGTGCACGCCGGACAAACAAAGGCTTCGCCTGCCGCGCCGGATAAGGAAGGCCACGCCTGCCACGCCAGATTTCCAGGGGATCGACGCTCGCCGCGCGGTGTCTGAAATACAGGGATCCACGATGGCGACGCATCATCATTCACCCCATCGATTTCATCGCGCGCAACCCTGCGCATCATCCGCCATGATCGCCATTGCGTTAGACCAGTCTGCTTGCCTACGATGAGGCTTCGCCGTGCACGCCGGACAAACAAAGGCTTCGCCTGCCGCGCCGGATAAGGAAGGCCACGCCTGCCACGCCAGATTTCCAGGGGATCGACGCTCGCCGCGCGGTGTCTGAAATACCGCTACGCCGTTACAAAAGTTCGTCACGTTTCATGAGAGCTTGAAAGTGGCATGGGTTTCGTGTCTTCCTTCCGCGTGAGCAAGCGGGCAGAGGCTGACCACTGCCCTGGCCGCGCCGAGCTGGCCCCCCCTTCCCCCCTAGAATCCTAGCGGACTGAGTCAAGAGCGGTCGGATCAAAGATCCGGGATTTCTAAAAGTGGGATTTCATCCCTTACTATAATAGTATAGATTTAAAACGGGACATTTTGAGATCCCGACGTAAATTCACACGGTTCTAGAAATCCCACCGGGGCGGGATTTGTCTTTGCTTATGCAAGATGATCGACTTTTATTTTATGACGAAACTTTTGTAACGCCGATGAGGGATCCACGATGGCGACGCATCATCATTCACCCCATCGATTTCATCGCGCGCAACCCTGCGCATCATCCGCCATGATCGCCATTGCGTTAGACCGGTCTGCTCGCCTACGATGAGGCTTCGCCGTGCACGCCGGACAAACAAAGGCTTCGCCTGCCGCGCCGGATAAGGAAGGCTACGCCTGCCACGCCAGATTTCCAGGGGATCGACGCTCGCCGCGCGGTGTCTGAAATACAGGGATCCACGATGGCGACGCATCATCATTCACCCCATCGATTTCATCGCGCGCAACCCTGCGCATCATCCGCCATGATCGCCATTGCGTTAGACCAGTCTGCTTGCCTACGGTGAGGCTTCGCCGTGCACGCCGGACAAACAAAGGCTTCGCCTGCCGCGCCGGATAAGGAAGGCCACGCCTGCCACGCCAGATTTCCAGGGGATCGACGCTCGCCGCGCGGTGTCTGAAATACCGCTACGCCGTTACAAAAGTTCGTCACATTTCATGAGAGCTTGAAAGTGGCATGGGTTTCGTGTCTTCCTTCCGCGTGAGCAAGCGGGCAGAGGCTGACCACTGCCCTGGCCGCGCCGAGCTGGCCCCCCCTTCCCCCCTAGAATCCTAGCGGACTGAGTCAAGAGCGGTCGGATCAAAGATCCGGGATTTCTAAAAGTGGGATTTCATCCCTTACTATAATAGTATAGATTTAAAACGGGACATTTTGAGATCCCGACGTAAATTCACACGGTTCTAGAAATCCCACCGGGGCGGGATTTGTCTTTGCTTATGCAAGATGATCGATTTTTATTTTATGACGAAACTTTTGTAACGCCGATGTATTTGGACGCCCGAATGGAAAAGAGGGGGGTGATGACTAGGGGGGGGTGGATTTCATGGCGCGGGCCACGATTTTGCCTCAGACTTCATGGCGCCTCGTCTTATCTCATTACGTCCCAGGCCCCCCCGCTGGGCCGCGCACATGCCGCCGGTAATGATTTGCACCTCCCCCCTCTGGGACACCCCCTTCTTTGCCGCCCCCGATATTTGGACGCCCGGAATGGGTACGGAAGGAATGGGTACAACGCCCAACAGCAGTTCCTGGTCATTTTGAACAGGACTCGCTGTCCACGCCGCCGCGGCCTGTGTTCGTTCGAGACAGAAGGCCGCCTGCCCAACAGCGGCCGCTGTTGGTTTGGGACAACAGTTGTTGTTGGGCATTGTACCCATTTTTTCCGTACCCATTTCGGGCGTCCAAACCTTATGCCTGGCGTCACTTCACCTCGATGCCGCTCTTCAGGACTCCCTCCGCCTCTGCGGGCACATCTTTGAGATTCAGGGCTGGACCTAAACGGTGTTTTTCGTTTTCGTTTCGTTTTCGTTTTCCCTCGTTTTGTCTTCAATCCGCGTTTTCCGCAAAACGAAGTCGAAACGAAAACGGCCCACGAAATCGCCCAAACACTGTTTAGGTCCAGCCCTGCTGAGATTGTGCCATCGCGCTGGGCCCGCCCACCTCGAGGGACGGGGATGCGCTCGAGCCTGGCGGTAGCCGGCGCCCTCCCACAGCCGCGCCCCCTCTCTGCGTCGGGTGCCGCCAGGAGTGCCCCCATGGCCCAGGGCGCCCCCAGCTTCTCGCCCGATCTGGAGGCCCCCTGGGGCCCTCCGTGCCTCGTGCGGGGTGCTCCCTGGGGGCCGTGGGGGCCTCCTTGGAGATCCCGGGGGGTACTTGAAAGTTGGTCGACTGGCAGATGGGATGAAACCACATGGGGTAAGCCTTTTCTGTGACGAGTTTTTTTTTTTTTTTTTTTTTTTTTTTTTTTTTTTTTTTTTTTTTTTTTTTTTTTTTTTTTTTTTTTTTTTTTTTTTTTTTTTTTTTTTTTTTATATATATATATATATTATATATATATATGTATTATAGATATATATATATATATATATATATATTATATATATATATATATATAATATATATATTATTATATATATAAAAACAGCAAAAAAAAATAGCACCTTCGGCCAGGGGCACTTCTGGCACCGCCCTCCTGCCGGGCCCGGCCATGGCGGCGGGCGCGCCGCCCGCGCCCCGGCCCCGGCCCGGAGGAGGCCGCCGCGCCGCCGGCGGGCCCGCGGTGCGGCGCCGCCGGCGCGGGCGAGGGCGGCCTCGGCGAGTGGCGCGTGGACGAGGCTCGCGCGGCTTGGGGCCGCGAGGGTGTCAGAAGCTGGGCGGAGGCTCTGGGCTCGTTTCGATTCCTCCGATTCGATTCGATTCGATTCCGATGGATTCCGATTCCGATTCGATTCGACTTGGGATTCCGATTTGGGCTCCGATTTCTTATTGGACGCATACTAGCCTGCCGATTTCCGCCGATTCGACTTTGCCCGACTCGGCTGCCGATTTCTGCCGATCCGACTTATTTCGATCGCCGATCCGACTTATCGATTCGATTCTGGGCTCCCCTGCTTGGGGCCGCGAGGGTGTCAGAAGCTGGGCGGAGGCTGGCAAGCCCGTTTCTCCTTCTGGGAAGCAGGCTGCTTCCCAGAAGGAGAAACTCAGGAGGGGAAAAAACACACAGACACAATTAATCCTCGATTCTCAGAAAATATGGGAAAATATGGGAAGTGGGGGGGAAGACAGAAACCCAGAAAATATGGGAAAATATGGGGAATCTTTTTATTTGTGTGTATTTATTTGTGTGTCCTGGGGCCCCTTCACTTCTGGGGGCCGCGAGGGTGTCAGAAGCTGGGCGGAGGCTGGCAAGCCCGCTTCTCCTTCTGGGAAGCAGGCTGCTTCCCAGAAGGAGAAACGTTGTTCAGGCTGCTTCCCAGAAGGAGAAACGTTGTTCATTTTGAAGGGGGAAAGTTGAGGCAGTTTCCTTCAGCGGCGGCTCTAACGTTGAGCCTCGCGGCATTACTTGCGGGGCGAGTGGGGTGCCTTGCGTTTTAGGTTTTCTGGTTGAGCCGCGGAACCCATGTCTTACCAGAAGCAGCCCGTTTAACTATTTGGTGCGCCGAGCTTGGTTCTGGGAATTGTTGTTGTTTTTCTTCTTCCGGGGAGGCCGTTTTAGCAGCCATGGCTTTGCCAGTTCTCGCCCAGCCTCCGCGAGGGGCCTGGGCCTCCGAGATCGGGGCCTGGGCCTCCACGAGGGGCCTGGGCCTCCGAGATCGGGGCCTGGGCCTCCGAGATCGGGGTCGGAGGATCGCGCCGCATCGGCGATGCATCGGCGAGGCGGCTCGATGCGGAGCCCCAATTTTCAGGAGGAAAGGAAACACACAGACACAATTAATCTTCGATTCCCCAGAACATATGGGAAAATATGGGAAGTGGGGGGGGAGACAGAAACACAGAAAATATAGGAAAATATGGGGAATCTTTTTATTTGTGTGCATTTATTTGTGTGTCCCAGGGCCCCTTCAAATTTCTCCACGCCGGCTGGGCCTCCCGAGGGTGTGTGTGTGTGTGTGTGTGTGGCGTTTCGGGAGTGTCTAGCGGCAGATGATAGGGAGCTTCGGATGCACCTCCTGGGAGGTCGAATTCTGATTTTGCCCTGGGCCGAAATGCGAGTTAATCCGGCTTAATCCCGCTCAATCTGTCTTGATCCCGTTTGATCCCGCTTTATCCGGCTTAATCCCGCTCAATATCCCGCTCAATCCAGCGTAACAGCCCCCCAATGGGGCTTAATTCTCCTTGATCCTTCCGACGAAGACTTCCCAGCAGTTGCCTCCTAATGACTGGCGGCAGACGATCGGGAGCCTTGGTTTGGCATCGCTCGGGCGTATGTGCATGTTTTCTCGGTGAGGACCATCCTTGATCGTCTTACACAACTTATCAGGAGGGAAACACACAAAAACAATTAATCGTCGATTCCCCAGAAAATGTAGGAAAATATGGGAAGGGGGGAAGACAGAAACCCAGAAAATATGGAAACATATGGGGGATCCTGTTATTTGTGTATATTTATTTGTGTGCCTCTGGGTCCCTTCATTTTTCTCGGTGAGGACCATCGAGGAGCATCCTGGATCGTCCTACAAAAAAGCACGCTCGAAGCCGAACGTGCACGGGGAGTGGCCGTCCGAGCGATGGTAAGTTCGGGGAGGCGTTTCGGGGGTGTCTTCAGCAGGATGGAAAACACACACAAACACAATTAATCGTCGATTCCACAGAAAATATGGGAGAATATTGGAAGTGGGGGGGGGGAAAGACGAAAACTCAGAACATATGGGGAAATATGGGAAATCCTGTTATTTGTGTCTATTTACTTGTGTGTCCCAGGGCCCCTTCACATGGGAGCCTCGTGTCGGTGGCTCAACGATGGGCTCCTGAGGGATGGGAGCCTGCAGTGTCACCGAGCGCGTTCCACCACCCGCAGCGTGCCTGCTCGTAGACGTCAGGCAAAGCACATGTCTGCTCCGATGTGAGCTGTCGCAGATCCCCCGCGGCGGATCCAGGCCATCTTCGAGCAGTTATCCCCCGCGGCGGATCCAGGCCATCTTCGAGCAGGTAGTCTGCGAGTCAGTGGAACGCGCTCGGCTAAAATGGCAGAAAGGGATCCAAGACGGGATTCGCGCTGTCGGAGGCACACCGTTCTCGGGGCCCCATCCCTCAGGACCCCTATCGAGATTCCACCGTCGGAGTGCGGCCCTCCTCCTCCTCCTCCTCCTCAGCGTGCGCTGGCGTGTGGTAATCAATGAGGAAGGGCCGATTCAGCGCCGATCGGCGTCGGTGGGGCGTCGATTGGCGTCGAGTGGCTCGGCCTCGGGGGTGCGAGGATCCAGGTCCCCCGAGTCCAGCCGCGCGCAGAGGGGGGCAGGGGAAGGGGGGACGGCCTCATAGAAGCACCCCTGCTTCTCAGAAGGCGCGGGCACTTTCCAGAGATGTAGGGTCGGGAACTGGTCCATGACGTAAACACACACCACCAGAGGTCCGCGCAGATTTCTCAGATCGGAGCTGGGGTCCCCCGCGGCTCCCCCTCTGTGGAGAACTCTGTCGAGGTCCTCTCGGGGAACTCTGTCGAGGTCCCCTCCACGTTGCCCTCGTCGGGGCGCGGCGGAGAACTCTGTCGAGGTCCTCCCCCGCCCCTCCGTGTGCGAGAGCTGGAGAAGCCCTCGGTGGACGAGGAGTGTCGATCCAGGCTTCCCAGATGGGTTCCTAGCAAATGGGGTCGGAGGATTGCGCCACATCGGTGATGCATCGGCGAGGCGGTTCGATGTGGAGCCCGGTGTTCTTCACGTCGGCGTTGCCGCTGCACCGCCGACAGCACTGATGCATCGGCGACGTGGCGCGATCCTCCGACCCCATCTACTCGGACCCCATTTGGGAGGCTCGCACGGCCTCGGGGGTGCGGGCCATGGATTTTGTTGTTGTTGTTGTTGTTGTTGTTGTTGTTGTTGTTGTTGTTGTTGTTGTTGTTGTTGTTGTTGTTGTTGTTGTTGAGTTCTCATTTCTGAAGAGTAATTATTGTTGATCCCCCCCCACCGGTGCATATTGTTTTCTCTCAATCAAAGTGTGCCCCTCGACGGTCGCACCCTGTTCTTGGACAGGGAAAGTCTTGGTGCTCAAACTGTGCCCCTGGCCCCTGGGTTAGAACAACAACGGCTCCCGCCTGAGACTTCCTTACAATTTAGCCAGGGCCCCCGCTCCCGCCCGAGACTTCCTCGCATTTGATTCAGGAATCGCGCTCTCGCTTTGGACTTCCTTACAATTGATTTAGGAATCGCTCTCCCGGCGCTCTGGAGTCGCGCTCTCGCTGGAGACTTGCTTGCAACTTGCTGAAGAATGGCCTTGCGTTGGAATTTCCCGCAATTTGCCCCAGCGCCGCGCTCCCGACACCCAGGCACCTTGTGGCCCCATGTGCATGCCCTTCGTGGCCCCGCTGTCGCCATTTGTGTCCCCCTCACTGTCCTACGTGGCTCAGTTGCTACCCTCAGTGGCCCCATAGTTGCCATCTGTGGCCCCGCATTATCTGCCCTTCGTGGCCCCCGCTCGTTCGCGCTCTTCGTGGCCCCATACGCATCCCCTTCGTGTCCCCACTGTCGCCCTTCGTGGCCTACTTCGTGCCCTTCGTGGCCCTGCTGTCGTTCTCTCTCGCTCTCGCTTTCGCTCGTCGTCGCCGTCGTCGTCGTCGTCGTCGTCGTCGTCGTCGTCGTGGTCGGTCCCCTGTCCGTCCCTCTTGGGGTCGGGTCGACGGTCCGCGGCCGCCGCCCCGCCGATCAGCGCTGCCGCTGGCCAGGCCGACGGTCCGCGGCCGCCCCGCCGCTTGCCGGGGCCCGGCCTGCAGGGAAGAAAGGCATGCCCCCCAAAAGGGGTTCGATCGGAGACGAAGAGGGCGGGCATCGAGGGTTAATGAACTACGCGTTATTGGACACTCGAACATATAAGGGCGAACAGTCTTATATTAATAATAATAATAGTACTAATGATTATTATCGTTCTTACTATTATCATTATTATTGTTGTTGTTGCTGTTGCTGCTGCTGCTGCTGTTGCTGTTGTTGCTGTTGTTGAACATTATTAATTCTAAAGAATAATTATTGTTGGGACCCCTGGTGCACGGCCCCCCTGCGCCGCCTAGGCCGCAGCTACATTTTCATCATTTTCGTGAGGAAGCCTCAGGTAATACGATGTCATCAAGATCCGGTTGTTTTGTTGTAATCCGTTTTCCCTTGCAAAAAACACTATAAAATGACATTTCTTGTTCTAATATAATCAAATTTCAAGAATCCCTTGCAAAAAATAAGGTAAAGTGGACATTCGCGCGCGCAAGACGAAATCCTTCCAAAAGCTTAGTGTTCGGAGCGATTTTAACATAAAAACATCAAAAAACCAATGGTTTTTCAACAAAAAAATGTCAAAATCTCATCCCGCGCGCTCTTGCGGATTCGTAGGAAACCCAACACTTTTTAAACATTTCTGTCAAACGGGCTTTTGCGAGCAACTTTTTCGAACTTCTGCGACAACGGTTGCGCACCTGCCAGGGCCATCATCCCTGTCAAATAATACCATGCGGGACACATTCGTTTTTTCTTCGCGCGCGCACGCCGAAATCTCCAAAAACCATTG